CCGATGTGGGGGTTTGAACCCAAAACCTTCTGACTCGGAGGCGAGAGCTTGAGTGACGGAGCCAGGCTGACCTGCAGTTTTGACTTTTTTCTGGGAATTTGGGGTTTTACTTAAGAAAAAAGTAGGTTGAAAATCCGATCCAGTTTAAGATTAGCGGGGGAGGGAGAGGGTGGTCGGGGGGCAGGGGAGGGGGGGAGGGGGGGAATTGGCAAAAGCCCTTTGTGTTTTGAATGTTTTTTTCAAGGGCCGCGTCCGCTTCAAATTTTCCACGTATGTTGGTATGTGGCGGAGGGTTAGGTTACATGAAAGGGGAGACGAGGGCAGGACTGCAGGGAGGGAAGGGGAATTCCGAAGGCCATTGCAGAGACAGATTCCTTCCAGAGTCCAGAGCGCTGCCAGCCTCCTGCCCGCACAGCACATGCACCGCTCACTCTTGGCCTGGCACCGATTGTGATAAATTGCTCCATAACAATCAGCCACATCGTCGTTGTGTGGAGAGGCCGGGAGGTCAGGGGCTGGGTGTGGAGCCTGGGATGGGGGGGTGGGAGAGGGGGAATTCCAGGCACACTCTGCTTGTTCATTTCCCCTCGATCGGATTGCACCCAAGATGCTGACTCTCAGGAGTGGTGACATGTACTGTCGGAGATTTGTATTCTGTCATAAGAATATAAGAATTTGCTGGCGAAGGAAGACCAAGGTCCATCTAATTCACCTGCCACCATCCTGACAGTCGCTTGACATGTCATGTCCCAAACTATTTCCCCAGATATTATATTCTAGCAGAAATCAATCTAATTTGTTCTTGAAATAAACTGTCAACCAAACTTATAATAATATTAATATTATTATTAAATTCCAGACAGTGCCTCTGACATCAGGAGGACCTCCAAGGGGGTTTTGCTGTAAAAGTGTAGTATCCATTTCTGGTCCTAAATGTCAGAACCAGAGGAGAGAAGGAGGTTTTCAGTCTGGTAATCCATGTCAAATACACAATGAATAATGTACTGGGACAGGAGCCTGAACCCCTCCTCCCCCCGACCAGCCCTGACTTTGATTGGGTCCCAAAGTGCAATCAGTGTATTATCCCCAATACAACATTCCCTCACCCGGAGGGTCATTAATGGTGGGAACGGGGAGGGGAAGGGGCTTGTCAGGGAGGGGCTTGTTGGGTACAGGGAACAAGGAGGGCAGGGGCTGCAGGGAGGGGAGGGGCTTGCAGGGAGGGGAGGGGCTTGCAGGGAGGGGAGGGGCTTGCAGGGAGGGAGGGGCTTGCAGGGAGGGGAGGGGCTTGCAGGGAGGGGAGGGGCTTGCAGGGAGGGCAAGGGCTTGCAGGGAGGGCAAGGGCTTGCAGGGAGGGGAGGGGCTTGCAGGGAAGGCAGGGGCTTGCAGGGAGGGGAGGGGCTTGCAGGGAGGGGCTTGTTGGGTACAGGGAACAAGGAGGGAAGGGGCTTGTGGGGAGGGAAGGGGCTTGTGGGGAGGGGAGGGGCTTGTGGAGAGGGAAGGGGCTTGTGGGGAGGGACTTGCAGGGAGGGGTGTCACGTAGGTGTCAGAGCACGGAGTGGGGGGGAGGCACTTCACTTGCGAAGTGTGCCACGGCTCCTCACTCTGAACCTCGGGGGGGAGGCGGGCACCATTACTAGCCTTTATCAGAGGCCCTGGAGGAGGCCATTCAGCCCCTTGTGGCTGCTCCGCCATTTTGTTGATCACGGTTGGTACCGTTTACCATTCAGTGCTGAGAAAACTAATGAGGAAGATTCAGCAGAAACCTTCATGGCACATAATGATCTGTTGCCGTGTTCGGTTGCGACAGCTTCTGTAAACATCATGGAGTGAGGAGGCCAAAGGCATCACTGGCAGCGTGTTTCAGCTCTGCAGTCTGGTATCGCTGTTTTGTAACGGGGTGAAGGACTTTGTGGAAAACCTGTAGATTACTGTCTGGGCTGAAGGAGCTCAGTTTATGATGAGGCTTTTCCCCCTGGTTGAGGGATCATTACACGGGGCAGAACATTAAACTGAGCCATACCCAGACCAGGATGGTTAGAGCTGTGGTCAGGAAGCATTTCTTCCCGCTGACCCCGCTGATGGACGGACACTAATGTGCTCTCTTTCCCCCCAGGTTGGCTGACCCTCCGGGGCGGGGCTCCTGGCTGGAGAGTTGCTGCCATTCCACCATGTCGCAGGGCTCGCAGTCCAGTGACCTCCTCAACCAGGACTGGTTTAATCAACTCTTCGATTTAGCGGCACAGTGAGTGCAACTCCAACCTTCCTCTTCTCATTCTAGCATCACTTTAATAACAGTAGCAATCCTCGCACTCGGGACAGCACCTTATTACTTTGTTAGAACATCACAAAGCACTGCACAGCATTTTATTGCAGTGACTGGCTGTTGTGTAATGACTGGCAGACAGAATGGTGAAATGGGCAGACAAATGGCAGATTAAGTTTAATGCAGAGCAGGGGATGAGAATGGAACTTGGGAAAATAAACTGGAAAATAATATTGGCAAACAAAGAGATAGAGCAGCAGTGAGAAACATTCATAATAGTGATCAATAGAGTCCAGGAGAAATATATTCCGCTAAAAACCAAGACAAAGCTGAAGAATAATGAGACACCATGGATGAATAAAGACACAAGGGCAAAGTTGAGACTCAGGAAAGAGGTGTTCACTAAATGCATAAACAACAAGGGGGAGCATGAATAAACAAAATACGAAGAGATCAGGAAAATAGTCTAAAAAACAATTAGGAAGGAAAGAGAAATTATGAAATTAAATTATCAAAGAATATAAAAAGAAATAGTAAAATATTCTACAGACATATAAATAACAAAAGGAAAAACAAAATAGGAATAAGGCCACTAAGGAATAGACAAGATAAGCTCACAGGCAGCGACAGGGAAATGGCAGAAATATTGAATAATGACTTTGCCTCAGTATTTATCAGGGAGACGGATCCGGAGGACATCATAGTAGAAGAAGAGATCGAAGATAATATAAATACATCTAAGATAAAAAGCGAGAGATAATCAATAAACTAACCAAACTCAGGGAGGATAAAACCCCTGGTCCAGATGGATTGCATCCACGTGTATTAAAAGAATCTGGGGAAGAGATAGCAGAGGCACATATATAACTCATTAGAAAAGGGAGAAGTGCCAGAGGACTGGGGGACAGCAAATGTTATACCTTATATTTAAAAAGGGATAGAACAAGCCCAGGGAACTATAGACCTGTCAACTTAACATAGGGGTAGGAAAGATAATGGAATCCTTACTGAACGAGGTAATAGAAAAACATCTAGAAACAGAAAACGTAATAAAGAATAGTCAGCACGGATTTCAAAAAGGAAGGTCATGCTTGACCAACCTCATTGAATTCTCATTGAATCCATGTCTCCCGCCCACCCGTCCAACCATCGGTGGCTGGGCTTTCAGCCTCTCTGCCCCCACACTCTGGAATTCCATCCCGCGGTCCCTTCGCCTCGCTTCCTCCCTCGCCTTCTTCAAGGCCGGTCTCAAGACCCTTCTCTTCGACTGTGCCTTTGGTCTCCCTCCCACCTCTCTGCCTTCCCTCATCTCTACACCACCCCTCCCCCATGCTCGGGCCCCGACACCTGACTGTTCAGCGGTTTGGGACCTCCTCCCGGCGTGAGAAGCACTCTATACATGTCATTTTGTTGTTGTTGTTCTTTGAAGGGGTAACAGAGAGAGTAGACAAGGGGAATGCGGTACATGTAATACATTTGGATTTCCAAAAAGCGTTCGATAAGATACCACATAATAGACTGATGAATAAGGTCAGAGCGTGTGGAGTAAGGTCAGGGGAAAAATAGCAATGGATAGCAAGCTGGTTACAAGACAGAAAGCAGAGAGTAGGGGTAAAGGGTAGCTACTCAGACTGGCAGAGGGTGGGCAGTGGTGTTCCATAAGGATCGGTATTTAAGAACCGCTGTAGTTCACAATTTACATTAACGATTTGGACTCCGGGATCGAAAGTACAATTTCAAAATTTGCATCTGACACCAAATTGGGGGGTTTTAGTTATTACTGAGGAGGCCTGCAACAAAATACGACAGACATTAATAAACTTGCTGAAAGGGCATTTCCATGACAAATTAATTTCAATATAAATAAGTGTGAGGTGGGTACATTTTGGTAGGAGGAATAAGGAGGTCACATACTGCCTGGAAAATAACAATCTAAATGGGGTAGAGGAGCAGAGGGATCTAGGGGTACACATGCACAAAATGCTAAAAGTAGTGACGCAGGTTAATAAGGCCGTAAAAAAAGCAAACCAAGCATTGGGGTTCATTACTAGAGGGATAGAAATGAAAGGTATGCTCAACTTGTATCAAACCTTGGTTAGACCAGACTTGAAGTATTGTGTGCATGGACCAGTTGGGCCGAATGGCCTGTTTCTGTGATGTATATTCTATGTAATTCTATGTAAGTGTGAGGTGATACATTTTGGGGAAGAATGAGGAAAAGCAGTATTCAATAAATGTTACAGTTTTAAAGGGGGTTCAGGAGCAGAGAGACCTGGGGGTTCACATACACAGGAGGCGGCAGGACAGGTTGATGGAGCTGTTAAAAAAGCATATGGGATCCTTGGCTTTATAAATAGAGGCACAGAGTACAAAAGCAAGGAAGTTCTGCTAAACCTTTATAAATTACTGGTGAGGCCTCAGCTGGAATATTGTGTCCAATTCTGGGCACCACACTTCAGGAAGGATTCAAAGTCTTGGAGAGGGTGAAGAGGAGATTCACCATAATAGTACCAGGGATAAGGGACTTTAGTTATGTGGAAAGACTAAAGAAGCTGGGATTGTTCTCCTTAGAACAACAACAAATTACACTTGTAATTGTAATTGCGGCCTTCATGTTGGAAAGATGTCCCAGGGCACTGGACAGTCAGGGCTTTTTGAGGCCCAAGCTGGTAGTTGGTGTCAGGAGGCATGGAGTGCAGGGAGGGTGGCCGAAGGCATGGTCGAAGAGGAAGAACTTTAGATGGGACTTGGAAGAGGCAAGAGAGGGGGTGAGGCGGAGGGATTGCGGGATAGAATTCCAGAGTGTGGGGACAGAGATGCTGAATACCCGACCGCAAATAGTGTGAAGGAAAGTGCAGGGGACATGAAGCAGCCGGTGTCCGCCGAGTGCAATGGACAGGCTAATATGGAGTTAGGAGGTTGGAGAGGTTAGAGGGAGCAAGACCATGGAGGGCTTTGAACAAATGAGGGATTTGTACTCGATTCTCTGAGGGAAGGGGAGCCAGTGAAGCTGAGCAAGGATGGGGGTGATTGGTTCGGGGAGCCTGGTGCAGGAGAGGACACGAGCTGCAGAGTTCTGAATAATCTGCATCGTGTGGAGGGAAGAGTTGGGAAGTCCAGTGAGCAGGCAGTTGGCGTAGTCAAGCCGGGACGTGATGAAAGCATGGATCAGGGTCTCGGGGGACTGCGGTGAGAGGCAGTGATGAAGGTGGGCAATACTGTGGAGGTGGTGAAAGCCGGAACGGGTCACAGCACGAATGTGGGGTTTGAAGGATAGCTGAGGGTCGAAAAGGACTCCGAGGTTTTGGATTGACTCAGTGAGGTGAAGAGCACAGCCGTGGATGGGGATAGTGTCAGGGGCTGACGTGAGGGCCTCTGTCTTGCCAATACTGAGCTGGAGGAAGTTGGCTCTCATCCAGGAGTTGATGTCAGACAGACAATTAGCCAGGACATCAACGGTCCTGAAGTTGAGGGTGGAGACAGTGAGATAGAATTGGGGGTCATCCACATCCATGTGGAGATTGACCCCAAGCCTATGGATGACATCACCGAGTGGGAGCATGTGTAGATTGAACAGGAGAGAACAAGGACAGAGCCCTGAGGGACCCCATGTGACAGTGCAGGGGTTAGAGGAGAAGCTGTTGGTGGACACAAAGGGCAGATGTGGGAACGGTATGATTGGAACCAGGCAAGGACAGAATCATTGATGTGGAGGTGAGAGGAGAGGCGGTGGAGAAGAATAGAGTGGTCGACCGTATCAAAAGTGGCCGAGAGGTCGATAAGGTAAAGCAGAGAAGGTTGACGAAAGATTTAATAGAGGTGTTCAAAATTATGAGGGGTTTTCATAGAGTAGATAGAGAGAAACTGGCGTGTGGGTCAGTAACAAGGGGACATAGATTTAAGATAATTGGCAAAAAAACCAGAGGGGAGATGAAGAGAGATTTCTTTTACACAAGGATTTGTTATGGTCTGAAATGCACTGCCTGAAAGGCTGGTAGGGATAGATTCAATAACAACTTTCCAAAGGGAATTAGATAGGTACTTGAAAAGGAAAAAATTGCAAGAACATGGGGAAAGAGTAGGGGAGTGCGACTGATTGAGTAGTTTTTCCAAAGAGCTGGTACTGGCACAATGGGCCAAATGGCCTCCTTCTGTGCTGTAATATTCTATGGTTTCATGGCTGTGGTGCAGTGACTGGGTTCGATGCGGTGAATGGGGTGGGTGAGGTGACTGGAGTGGGTGTAGTGACTAGAGTGGGTGTAGTGACTGGCTGGGATGTAGTGACTGGCTGGGGTGTAGTGACTGGCTGGGGTGTAGTGACTGGCTGGGGTGTAGTGACTGGCTGGGGTGTAGCGTGGAGTCCTGTAGCTCAGTGGTTAGAGCACTCGCTTTGCAAGTGAGAGACCTGAGTTCAATTCCAGGCAGAGGGCGAAACCTTGGGCAAGTTTCCTTACTCCACACAGAGCCTAATAATAATCCCTCCAAAACAAAAAAACAATAATAAAAAAAATTGGTCATTTTCAATCTATGACTGTTTGTGGGACACTGCTGTGCGCAATTGGCTGCCGCGTTCGCCCACAAATATACAGTCAATTCACTTTACAGTGTGTTCTGTGAAGCGCTTTGGGATGTCCTCCCGACGTGAAAAGCGCTATATTAAATGCAAGGATTATTATTATTATTATAGTGACTGGCTGGGGTGTAGTGACTGGCCGTGGTGCAGTGACTGGGTTCAATGCGGTGACTGGGGTGGGTGAGGTGACTGGAGTGGGTGTAGTGACTAAAGTGGGTGTAGTGACTGGCTGGGGTGTAGTGACTGGCTGGGGTGTAGTGACTGGCCTATCAGAGCTCTGATATTTCAGACAGTCGTCTCCCGTGAGTTCACCTTGTCATCAAATTAAAGAACTGCAGAAAACTCATTGCAGCTGAAGCCTGGATTCAGGGCTTTGCGCTGTTTGGTGATGAACTCTGAGTCTAAACTATAACATGGCCCTACAACTTAGACTCTTGAGGGATTGCAGGCCCTTGCTTTGATTTCTGATGCCCACTCTCTGGGGCTGCTGTGAGTGGTTGGACCGCGTTGTCTCAGTGTCGGTCAGTTTCCTTACAACTCAGGTATGTGGGTGTCCGTGTGGTGGGTATGTGGGTATCTGCGCCTAGGAATGTCCTCTCGATATGAAAGCCGCTACATAAATGCAATTTGTTGTTGTTGATGATGATGTTGTTGTTATTGATATTGTTGATGTTGTTGATGATGTTGATGATGATGTCGATGTTGATGATGTTGTTGATGATGATGATGTTGTTGTTGATACTATTGTTGATGTCGATGTTGATGAAGTTGTTGTTGTTGATGATGTTGTTCTTGTTGATGTTGTTCTTGTTGATGTTGTTGATGATGATGTTGATGTTATTGATGTTGATGTTGTTGTTGATGTCGTTGATAATGTTGATGATGATGATGTTGATGATGATGATGTTGTTGATGATGATGTTGATGATGATGATGTTGATGTTGATGTTGTCGATGTTGATGTTGTCGATGTTGATGATGTCGATGTTGATGATGTTGTTGATGATGATGATGATGTTGTTGTTGATAATATTGTTGATAATATTGTTGATGTCGATGTTGATGATGTTGTTGTTGATGTTGATGATGTTGTTGTTGATATTGTTGTTGATGATGTTGATGATGATGATGTTGTTGATGATGATGTTGATGATGTTGTTGTTGATGATGTTGATGATGTTGATAATGTTAATGATGATGTTGTTGTTGATGATGATGATGACGTTGTTGATGTTGATGACGTTGTTGATGTTGATGACGTTGTTGATTATGATTATGTTGATGATGTTGTTGATGATGATGTTGTTTGATGATGATGTTGTTTGATGATGATGTTGTTGATGATGATGATGTTGTTGTTGATGTTGATGATGATGATGTTGTTGATGTTGTTGTTGATGATGTTGTTGACGATGATGATGATGTTGATAATGTTAATGTTGATGTTGTTGATGATGTTGTTGTTGATGTATGTGATGGGATGGAATTCACCAGTTGTGGTAATGGCAGGCAGTCACCAATCCGGAATGCCATGGCACTGATCCATGACATGGCGCCGTCCTCATAGCACATACCTGCGGTCACGGGCACCGAGTACATTGGCTGTTTATCGAGGATTCCTGCAATCTTTCGCATGTCCAGCTGCTCTGTGCCTGTCCAACAAAAAGTCCTTCCCTCCTTTCCACGAAGTCGGCTTGTATTGTTCAAATACTTCCCCAGCCATGGAATCCTCTCATTCCATGTCTGCCCGTCACCATGCCAACTCGCCAGCTGTTGTCGGGAGGAGCCACCCAGCGTTGCTCTACCTGGGAGAGGGTTTTGCTAGGTGGGGTGGGGGTAGGGGCAGCAGGAGGGCATGAGCCTGCTGGTGCCAAGTTTCCAATTAGCTGGTAGTAACTCACTGTCTCCAGGGCAGTGGCTCATTGCTTTTATCTTCCTTGTGAAGTTCCTGAGGGCAGTGCTGATAGGGGCAGGAGGATAGATTGGTGACTGTGGCCAATGGAGACCAGGCTGTTGTGCAGGTTTTAAGGGGAAAAAAACAATCAAAACTCTTATTTTGCTTCCAAGAACCCTTGGCTGGCTGTGGAAATCCCCTCCAACTTCTAACAATGTGGGTGATGTATAGTTTTGAGAAGCAGTTTGTGATTTGTTTTTTTGTTGAGCGAAGAGCTGTGCCCTTCACAGTGATGCTGGTGGCAATGGTGGACCCAACTCCCACGTCTCCCATTCCCAGGGGTTTAACGTGTCTCTGATGGTTTGTTGGGAACCTGGGGCCACGGGGACCAGTGATGAGGTGATGAGTGGTTGTGTTTGATCTTTGCCAACCTGTCAAATGGGTTTTAATAAGCATGACCAGAATGTGTCCCAACACTGACTGACACAGACACAGAACCGAAGACAGTTCTTCCCAGCACTGAGCGCTGTGTGCAATTCACAGTGAGAGGCTAAGGGGGTCCCAACTTCCTGTCTACCTGTCCAGGTGAATAGTTGAATGGGGTGAGGACTGGTAGCGGTGGGTGGGGGGTTAATTGGTTGGGGGGCTGGAGGAGGCCGCATTTGCCTGTTGTTTTAAGCTATGATCTGCTATATTTTCAGGCCAGTGTTAAATGTGCAGCCGATTAGCCTATCGTTCAGCGATGAGCTGCGCGAGGGTTTCCCAGGCACCAGGATCGAGATCAGTATGGATGGGGTCCGCATGCAGGACTCGGAGCCCCCCGACCCCCTGTGGGTGAGTCTGGCCGCTGATCTGTGTGACTTGTTCTTTTTCCCTCCCCTTCCAGAAGCTTGAAAGCTAAATCTATTGCCTTGTTAATACAGAGCAAAACAGAATCCAATCTGAGACCTTCGGGGTTGTTCAGTTTCATGCAGAGCAATATCAGGCAGAGCCTTTACAACAGGTTACCTGACAGCCACATGTAACGTATAATCTTCTGTGGACAGAATGTATCTATTAATTGTGCTTAAAAAGTGAAATGAACTTCACCCGATGGCACGAGAGGAGACAGCCATTGGTTTTGTTCAGTTACTAACTGCTTATTAGATTTCGTGCTATTCAACATGTTTCTCCTCCAGAGATGTGGGTGATTTTCTTTACCCGGAGGTGTGCCTTATTTTTGATCTAACTCCATGTAGGCTTTCTTCTTATTATTCTATTTATTGTTATTACTATTGTTGTTGTTATTGTTATTATGGTGGTTGTGATTATTGTTGTTGTTATTATTGTATTTGATTAGTTTATACCACAATTGTTGCAGCTTCACAAATTCTGGGAAATCAATGGACTCGGTGGGGTTATCCATTCAAAGAAACTCAATCCACGTCTGTTTGTGGGGGACGCTGCTGTGCGCAATTGGCTGCCGCGTTTCGCCCACAAAATAAGCAGTCACTACACTTTACAGTATATTCTGTGAAGTGCATTGAGATGTCTCGAAGATGCGATAAGGCGCTGTATGAAATACAATGATTATTATTATGATTATTATTATAGAGCACTTTACAGTAATGGATCCCGGGACTGAGCCAGGGGGAGGGGGAGGAGCCGGGGGAGGTGGGGGGAGGGGTTGAAGGTGACCAAAGGTGCGGTCGAAAAGAAAGGTCTTCAGCAGAGACCTGAAACGAAGGAGTGAGGCGAAGGGAGTGAGGAAGGGAGTTCCAGAGCCTCGGGGGGTAGTGGCTGAAGGCACAGCCACCGAGTGGGGAGCGGAGGACTCGGGGGTGAGGAGGAGGCCAGACCCGGAGGAACAAAGGCAACGGGTACTGTTGTGAGGAGAGAGGAGGTCAGAGAGGTCGGGGGGTGCAGAGGAGTGGAGGGATTTGAAGACAAGAGTGAGGATTTTGAAGTCAATCCTTTCTGGGACAGACAGCCAGTGCAGTCTGGCCAGGACTGGGGGGATCGGGGAGCAGAGTTTGGGGGTGGGGAAGGACGGTGGGGGGCAAGGACTGGGGTGATCAGGGAGCGGAGTTTGGTGCGGGTGAGAATGCAGGCGGAGTTCTGGATGACCTGGATTTTATGAATGGTAGTGGAGGGCAGGCCGGCGAGGAGGGCGTTTGAATAGTCCAGCTGAGAAGTGACAAAGGCCTGGACCAGGGTTTCAGCGGCTTTTGGAGTGAGGTATTGGCGGAGACGGGCGATGCGTCAGAGGTGGAAGAAGGTGATCCCTTTTCATTTATCCCAGTTAATTGGTCCTTTCTTAAAGTGTATCCAGCATCTTCCCCTTTTTGGTCTTACTTTTTTCTCTGAATCTCAATCTTGTTCAATTAATCTACATGTTGGTTTTTACTGCTCTTCCTGTTGTGATGAAGGGTCAGTTGAGTGGGTGATCTGGAGGGATGAGGTTGAAGGGTTTTCTTCATCCGAATTGATTGTGTGATCGTGTGAAACAAAAATCTTCCTTCACAATATGTGCACTATTCAATGTGCCATCACTGTCTGGTTGGTACTGTGTTGATGTGTTGGGAATAGCTAGGGGTCATTACCAGGGTCAATAGAACATAGCGGAAATATTTGCCAAAAATTGCAGGGAAATTTGACAAGTTGGTGTTATTGAGGTACACAGCCTCCTGCCTCTCAGGTCTACCACTGCACACAGACACAGACATAGAGGCAAACAGACACACACACCAACACAGAGACCTAGAGAGAGACACACACAGAAACAGAGACCCAGAGGGAAGCACATACAGAGATTCAGAGAGAGACACAGAGACACACATACACACAGAGACCCAGAGACACACACAGACAGAGAGAGGCACACACACACAGACGGAGAGAGAGAGAGACACACACACATACACAGAGACCCAGACAGAGGCACACACACAGATCCAGAGAGAGAGAGACACACACACGCATACACACACACACACACACACGTAGACCCCCAGGGAGGCACACACACAGATACACAGACCTAGAGAGAGGCACAGAGAAACGCACAGAGACCCAGAGAGAGACACACAGACACAGAGTCACGCACATGCACTCAGACAGAGAAACACACAAACAGAGACCGAGAGACAGACACTCATAGACACAGAGAGACAGACACACATTCTCTAAGAAAGAAAGAGACACACACAGATACACACTCGTAGACACAAAGGGGCACACACACACCTACAGAGTAGACACACAGACACATTCACGCAGAGGTACTCATAAACACACAGCCACTCACTACAGAGACACAAACACACACACACAGAGACACAGAGAACAACAACAACAACAACAACAAAATTACATTTGTAAAACACCTTTCACGTCAAGGAGGACATCCCAAGGTGCTGGACAGTCAGTGTTTTGGACCCGAGCTGGGGGTTGGCATTGAGGAGGGTAGAGGGCAGGGGGGAAGCAGGGAGATCGAAAGCACAGTCGAAGAGGAGGGTCTTGAGATGGGTCTTGACAGAGGCGAGGGAGGGGGCGAGGCGGAGGGACTGTGGGATGGAGATCCAGAGGGTGGGGCAGAGTGACTGAAGGCCCGCCTGCCAGCCAGCCAATAGTGGATGTGAACCAGGCTGGAGCCCGCTGAGCGGAGGGAGCGAGCAGGATGGTAGGGGGTTAGGAGGTCGGAGCAAGACCATGGAGGGCTTTGAGGTGAGGACCAGGATCTTGAACTGTATCTTCTGTGTGATAGAAAGCCAGTGGAGTAGGGCAATGATGCATTGATAGGGTCACGGAGCCTCGTGCAGGAGAGGACACAGGCTGCAGAGTTCTGGTGATCTGTGGCCTGTGGAGGGAGGAGTTGGGGAGGCCGACAAGCAATGAGTTTGCATAGTTGAGCCTCAATGTAATGAAGGCGTGTGTGAGGGTCTCGGGGGCCTGCGGTGTGAGACAGTGACGGAGCGGGCGATGTTGCGGAGGTGGGGAAGGCAGAGCGGGTGATGGCGCAGATGTGGGGTAGAAAGATAGTTGAGGGTCAAACAGAACCCCAAGGTTTGGGACCGGCTCAGTGAGGGGGAGTGAGCCCCGTGGATGGTGATGCTGTCAGCGCCTGAGGTGAGGAGGCGCTGACAGGAGCCAATCAGGAGCCTCCGTCTTATTGATGTTCAACTGCAGGAAGTTACCTCCCATCCAGGACTTGATGTCTGACAGACATTCTGTCAGGACAGCAGTGGGTCCTGGAGTCAATGGGGGAGGCAGAGAGGGAGAGGTGGGAGAGGTCATCCGCATACATGTGGGAGTTGACCCCATGTTTGCGGATGATGTCACCACAGGGGGAGCATATAGAGGGTGAAGAGGAGGGGACCGAGGACAGAGCCCTGAGGGACACTGCATGAGACATTCCGGGGGCTGGAGGAGAAGCCGTTAGCGGAGATGAAGTGGAGACGGTGTGAGAGGTACAATCTGAACCTGTCAAGGACAGAGACGTGAAGGTTGAGGTGAGAGCATTGGGTGGAAGATAGCAGGAGTGGTCGACGGTGTCGAAGGCAGCAGAGAGGTCAAGAAGGACGAGGAGACAGAGGGATCCCTGGCCGCAGATGAACAGAATGTCATTTGTCACTTTGACCGGGGCTGTTCTGTGCTGTGGGCGGCACGGAAACCCGATTGGAGGGGTTCGTGAAGGCAGTAGTGGGAGAGGAGGGAGCGAAGCTGGGAAGCGTGAGAGGATGGGCGGAGGAGCCAGTTGGTGATGGAGAAGAGGAGCCCGGGGTTGTCCTTGGCCTCCAAGATTGTCTTGGAGTAGAACGACGATTTAGTGGAGGCGAGGCGGAGCGATGGGATTTGATAAGGTCCAGCCAGAGAGGAAGGAGTTCAGATGGCTCCAAGGCAGCCAAGAGTGATGGGGAGGAGATGGAGGTAGGTTGGGTGGCGGTGGAGAGAGGGATTGAGGAGTTAAGGGAGATGAAGTGATGGTCCGAGATCACTTTGTCGGTGATGGTGAGGTCCGAGACGGTGAGGCCCCGAGTGATCACCAGGTCAAGGGGGTGACCACAGACGTGGGTGGCAGAGTGGATGTGGAGGGAGAGATTGAGGGAGGAGATAAGGGAGGAAATGTTAGCAGAGGTAGAGCAGGAGGGTTGAAGTGAAGGTTGAAGTCGTCTAGGATGAGGAGGCGTTTGGAGCAAAGGGAGAGAGAAAATAGAAGGGTGGAGATGTCAGGGATGAAGGAGGGGGAGGGCTTGGGGGGCAGGAGATAGGGAGAATTTTGAGGGCGAGGTTGGAGGGATGATAAAGGATAAGGTGCTCAAAGGGCCGAGCGGGGACCGGGAGAGGAGTCACCACGGCAGTTTGGTCATGGGGAGTGATGGAAAGTGTAGCCGGGGGGTGTGGCCTCTGTCAGGGGGAAGGTGTCGCCTGGAGTGACCCATGTTTCAGTGAGGGCGAGAATGTTGATGTTTTCGTGTGTTTTATTGGAGAGGGAACGGACATTTTATACACTGATGCGGAGGGGGGGAAGAATGTGAGGGGGTGAGGGGAGGGAGTGGGAGGACAGACAGGGAGGGTAGGGATGTGGATGAGGGAGGAGAGGTCGGTCCCCGTGACAGTCTCGACAGCAGGGCCCCCGAGTGGAGTGAAGCCCATTTCCAGCTCACGCTTCACGTGCACCTCAGGAGCTGCTCCGCACACAGTAGGAAACAGGCGGCAGCGGCAGTGAGAGGCTCAGGCGGAGGATGTTGTTTGTAGCAGATTCCGTGGAAAAATTGAGGCCGCACTTTTCTATTGGCCCAGTTTATTACAAGTTATTGGGTGTCACCGCTACACACAGAGCGCGGAACACGTGT